TGCTATGGACTTGAAGACCCCGTGTGTTTTAGGGGCTGCTCTACACCGGTGAGGGTATGCTCACACAGCACACCCTGGATCTGCAGTGTTGCAACTAGGAGCTGATCAAGATCTCAGCCCCCCTCCATCCTCCAGTTGTCAAAAACGTGCTCCCCCACTCAATAATGTCATTCTTGTTTTTTTTTCTTCTAATTTTTATTATTATTATTTATCTTTAGTATTTGATTTTTATTTTAAATTTGGTAACAAATTTGGACGTAACATTGAGGCGAATGTTGTTTGGTTTGTTCTCTTGCATAACATATATTATTTTCAGAGTTTTTGGATTTTTTTTTATTTTTTTTTCACGTTCGGCCGAACCGCCGAACGTGGCGAGACTGGGTGCCGAACGTTCGGGCGTTCCGTCCGTCCCGAACGCCGACAAACCTGAATATATATATATTATGACAACACACGTAAATATATGTCTGTATATGTGCATATATAGCGACAACATACATAAATGTATAGATACATACACAAAGAAATATGAATGGTATACATGTGATAATTTTATATATACACATACATATACATTTATATATATATATATGCAGGGTTGTCAGGCTGAACGTACGGACGCCTTGAAGCTGACCCCCAATCGCTCGTCCTTATACGAGGCCCAAACTTGAAGGGGTTCGGACCCCGCAAAAAAATATTTTAGAACCTATTTTTTTTTTTTTTTTCTGAATTTCTTTTCGTGAGTTTATTGTAATGTAAGGTATCTCTCTTTTAATTTTGAAGCCATTTTGTTTAGCCAAAAAAAAAAGAAAAATCGGCAAAGATGGTGGTGTCAAAACTTATTTGCCCACTCACTAATTTTTTTATTTTATTTTTTTACTTTTTTTTTTTCTTTATTTCCGGGCATGAAAACAATTGTTGTTTTTTCAAACTTTATTTGTAGATTTTTTATTATGTAAGATACACATGTATTAATTTTCATGGCATTTATCACAGCAAAACAAAATGAAAAATCGCCAAAGATGGCATTGTCAAAAACGTGCTCGCCCACTCAGTAATTTCATTCTCATTTTATTTTTTTTAATTTTTATTATTATTATTTATTTTTTATATGTGATTTTTATTTCAAATTTGGTAAATAATTTGGATGTAATGTTAAGGCAAATGTTGTTTAATTTAATCTTTTGTATAACATATATTTTGTTCAGAGTTTTTAGATTTTTATTTTTTATCTTTTTTGTTTTTTTTCCCCGCGTTCGGTCGTGTGTCGAGAGAGGGTGCTGAACGTTCGGGCGTTCGGCCTGCCCCGAACGTCGGCAACCATGTATATATGAAAAATATATTAAAATTTAAATATTATATTTCATAAACATATACATACATATGCCGT